GATGAAATGTTGAGATGAAAAGAAATAAAACAAAAAAAAAGAAAATAACTCCTAGAAATTACACCAAATATAAGTCTAAGCTATTCTTTGTAGCACTTTAAACTTACAGAGACACTATATCACCAGTCGTCGTAGTCGTCAGTCAGACAGGCGTTTACTTGGTTATTAAAATTTTAAGTGGCAACATTTGTATGCTTAAACCAACTAAATTAAGAGCATCATCAATTGCCAGCCATAAACCACATTTCTTACTATTTTTTCCTACTCAGATTAAATCTCTCCAGTCCGTTCCTTTATGAAAATGCTGATTATGTTGTTATACTGGATTTTTCAGTTATATTTGGTTTTAGGGGTTAGAAATTCATTAAATATTCTTAAAGTTTAATAAAAATCCTAAAGCCAGCTTATAAGCTGAATATTAGATTTATTCATGCAGGTGTAAGAAACTTGCTGCATAATTGTTTGTTTCTAAGCCTAAGCAGACAGGTGGAAAATGGTAAAAGGAAATCAATAGACATTTGAGATTAAATGGCTATAAACTAAGTAAAAGTTTTTGTAAATAAAAAGTAAAATCTATTTTAAATTAAAATCTAATAAACATAAAATATAACAATTTATTCATAAAAAATCTTAAGAACATGTTGCTGTAGTCATAAAATACTAAAAACATTTAAAGTTCTGAACTAGAACAGAACTAGAACAGAACTAGAACAGAACTAGAAGAGAACTAGAACAGAACTAGAACAGAACTAGAACAGAACTAGAATAGAACTAGAACAGAACTAGAACAGAACTAGAACAGAACTAGAACAGAACTAGAACAGAACTAGAACAGAACTAGAACAGAACTAGAACAGAACTAGAACAGAACTAGAACAGAACTAGAACAGAACTAGAACAGAACTAGAACAGAACTAGAACAGAACTAGAACAGAACTAGAACAGAACTAGAACAGAACTAGAACAGAACTAGAACAGAACTAGAACAGAACTAGAACATAACTAGAACAGAACTAGAACATAACTAGAACAGAACTAGAACAGAACTAGAACAGAACTAGAACAGCACTAGAACAGAACTAGAACAGAACTAGAACAGAACTAGAACAGAACTAGAACAGAACTAGAACAGAACTAGAACAGAACTAGAACAGAACTAGAACAGAACTAGAACAGAACTAGAACAGAACTAGAACAGAACTAGAACAGAACCAGAACAGAACTAGAACAGAACTAGAACATAACTAGAATAGAACAGAACTAGAACAGAACTAGAACAGAACCAGAACAGAACTAGAACAGAACTAGAACAGAACTAGAACAAAACTAGAACAGAACTAGAACAGAACTAAACAGAACTAGAACAGAACTAGAACTGAACTAGAACTGAACTAGAACTGAACTAGAACAGAACTAGAACAGAACAGAACTAGAACAGAACTAGAACAGAACCAGAACAGAACTAGAACAGACTAGAACAGAACTAGAACAAAACTAGAACAGAACTAGAACAGAACTAAACAGAACTAGAACAGAACTAGAACTGAAACTAGAACTGAACTAGAACTAGAACAGAACTAGAACAGAACTAGAACAGAACTAGAACAGAACTAGAACAGAACTAGAACAGAACTAGAACAGAACTAGAACAGAACTAGAACAGAACTAGAACAGAACTAGAACAGAACTAGAACAAACTAGAACAGAACTAGAACAGAACTAGAACAGAAAACAGAACTAGAACAGAACTAGAACAGAACTAGAACAGAACTAGAATAGAACTAGAACAGAACTAGAACAGAACTAGAACAGAACTAGAACAGAACTAGAACAGAACTAGAACAGAACTAGAACAGAACTAGAACAGAACTAGAACAGAACTAGAACAGAACTAGAACAGAACTAGAACAGAACTAGAACAGAAACTAGAACAGAACTAGAACAGAACTAGAACAGAACTAGAACAGACTAGAACAGAACTAGAACAGAACTAGAACAGAACTAGAACAGAACTAGAACAGAACTAGAACAGAACTAGAACAGAACTAGAACAGAACTAGAACAGAACTAGAACAGAACTAGAACAGAACTAGAACAGAACTAGAACAGAACTAGAACAGAACTAGAACAGAACTAGAACAGAACTAGAACAGAACTAAGAACTAGAACAGAACTAGAAACCTAACTAGAATAGAACAGAACTAGAAACAGAACTAGAACAGAACTAGAACAGAACTAGAACAGAACTAGAACAGAACTAGAACAAAACTAGAACAGAACTAGAACAGAACTAAAACAGAACTAGAACAGAACTAGAACAGAACTAGAACAGAACTAGAACAGAACTAGAACAGAACTAGAACAGAAACTAGAACAGAACTAGAACAGAACTAGAACAGAACTAGAACAGAACTAGAACAAACTAGAACAGAACTAGAACAGAACTAAACAGAACTAGAAGAACTAGAACTAACTAGAACTAACTAGAACTGAACTAGAACAGAACTAGAACAGAACTAGAACAGAACTAGAACAGAACTAGAACAGAACTAGAACAGAACTAGAACAGAACTAGAACAGAACTAGAACAGAACTAGAACAGAACTAGAACAGAACTAGAACAGAACTAGAACAGAACTAGAACAGAAGTAGAACAGAACTAGAACAGAACTAGAACAGAACTAGAACAGAACTAGAATAGAACTAGAACAGAACTAGACAGAACTAGAACAGAACTAGAACAGAACTAGAACAGAACTAGAACAGAACTAGAAACAGAACTAGAACAGAACTAGAACAGAACTAGAACAGAACTAGAACAGAACTAGAACAGAAATAGAACACTAGAACAGAACTAGAACAGAACTAGAACTAGAACAGAACTAGAACAGAACTAGAAGAACAGAACTAGAACAGAACTAGAACAGAACTAGAACAGAACTAGAACAGAACTAGAACAGAACTAGAACAGAACTAGAACAGAACTAGAACAGAACTAGAACAGAACTAGAACAGAACTAGAACAGAACTAGAACAGAACTAGAACTGAACTAGAACTAGAACTAGAACTGAACTAGAACTGAACTAGAACAGAACTAGAACAGAACTAGAACAGAACTATGAACAGAACTAGAACAGAACTAGAACAGAACTAGAACAGAACTAGAACAGAACTAGAACAGAACTAGAACAGAACTAGAACAGACTAGAACAGAACTAGAACAGAACTAGAACTAGAACTCAACTAGAATTCAACTAGAACTCAACTAGAACTCAACTAGAACTCAACTAGAACTCAACTAGAACTCAACTAGAACTCAACTAGAACTCAACTAGAACTCAACTAGAACTCAACTAGAACTCAACTAGAACCGAACTAGAACTGAACTAAAACTCAACTAGAACTCAAATAGAATTCAACTAGATCTCAACTATAACTCAACTAGCACTCAACAAGAACTCAACTAGAACTGAAATAGAACTCAAGTAGAACTCAACTAGAACTCAACTAGAACTCTACTAGAACTCAACTAGAACTCAACCAGAACTCAACCAGAACTCAATTAGAACTCAACTAGAATTCAACTAGAACTCAACTAGAACTAAATTAGAACTCAATTAGAACTCAACTAGAATTCAACTAGAACTCAACTAGAACTGAAATAGAACTCAACTAGAACTCAACGAGGACTCAACTATAACTCAACTATAACTCAACTAGAACTCAACTAGAACTCTACTAGAACTCAACCAGAACTCAACTAGAACTCAACTAGAACTCAACTAGAACAAAACTAGAACTCAACTAGAACTCAACTAGAAATCAACTAGAACTCAACTAGAACAAAACTAGAACTCAACCAAAATTCAACTAGAACTCAAGTAGAACTCAACTAGAACTGAACTATAAATCAACAAGAACTCAACTAGAACTGAACTAAAACTCAACAAGAACTTAACTAGAACTAAACTAGAACTCAACTATAACTCAACAAAAACTCAACTAGAACTCAACTAGAACTGAACTAAAACTCAACTAAAACTCAACTAGAACTCAACTAGAACTCAACTAGAACTCAACTAGAACTCAACTAGAACTAAACTAGAACTGAACTAGTACTCAACTAGAACTGAACTAGTACTCAACTAGAACTGAACTAGAATTGAACTAGAACTCAACTAGAACTCAACTATAACTCGACAAGACTGAACTAGAACTGAACTAGAACTGAACTAGTACTGAACTAGTATTAGAACTCAACTAGAATTCATCTATAACTCAACTAGAACTGAACTAGAACTCAACTAGAACTGAACTAGAACTCCACTAGAACTCAACTAGAACTCAATTAGAACTCAACTAGAACTCAATTAGAACTCAACTAAACTCAACTAGAACTCAACTAGAACTCAACTAGAACTCAACTAGAATTCAACTAGATTTCAACTAAAATTCAACTAGATTTCAACTAGAACTTTATTACAATATAGCTAGAGAACTTTATTAGAATTAAACTAGAATTGTAAACAAGTTCTTTAATGCTCTTTTTAATAAGTTAAGTTTAGTATAAGTTATTAATAAGTTTGTATGATTTCTTTACTTCTCTAGGATTGCTGTTGCAAAACAAGTTTAATTTATGGGCTCATTAGCAGTTGTATCAAAGGATGATAAATGTTTTTATTTTATTATTGATTTAAATTGATATTTAATGGAATTTTCTTTTTTTGTATTTTAATTGTAAAAGAAATATTATTTAGCAATTTGTCAATATGGTTTTTAATCTAAAGAAAATTTTAATGACTTTTTTAAGGTTTTTATCTTAATGTTTTAAAAAACCTACAGACTTTTTTTAGGAAAAAAAACTATTTAAAGCTTTTGCTGGCAGCCCACGTTCATTAAGGGTCATTGTGTAATTATCTTTAGCAGTTAAGTTCTGTTTTTCTTAAAGCAATTTTTCTAACGTTTTTTTTTTTTTTGTTATTTTTATGTTTATTTTTAGGCTTGATTATATAACCAGGAAAAACAAACAGCAGCTTCAGCAAAGACTTTATAACGAATTCTTATAAAAAGGTAAGTTTAAGCAAAAAAGTTATAAAATAAAATAATAAACTATTAAAGGGCGCCTTGATTAACATTTGCCATAATTGCAGTTATAGATAAAAAAAACTCTTCGTTTTACCACATATTGCTTAAGAAATTAAATTACAAAAAAAAAAAGAACAAAGCAAAAGAAAATAAGGTTTCTTTTCCTTACAAGTTAATAACTTTTGCTAATAGATTACAGGTTTTTCCTATGCCAAATGCGTAATAGCTGGCAAAACATGTTGCATATAGAGAGAGAAACAAACTCTATACACACATTAACAAACGACATTAGCTCAGCAGGTGTTGAAAACTTAACTTAGTTGTTTTTACTGCACTACAGCAATTGATAGAAATCTATATAGATTTAGTTTGCTTTTTGTTATTTACTGTTTTAAAGGTCTGTCTGTCTGTCCCTCTTGGTTTAGCGCGTGTTTTAAGTTTATTTCTTATTGAAATAATAATTTCCTTACTTCATGCTACTTTTGTAGCGGAAGTTAGAAATTTTCCAAGTGTTTAAAGTTTTGCAGAAAAAAATAAGCAAAATGTCAGTCCCCTCTTCTTGTTGTTCATAACACTATAAAGTACTTTTTGCTGCCTAAGGTTATTGTGTTTTATGGTATTTTTACCACATTATTATTTATAATTATTAAGATGGTTTTTAATGTTTTTTTAGATAACATTTCAATGTAATTTAATTTGAAGCAAACTGTTTAGCTTAAAACACAACAAACAAAAGACTTAAGAAACAAACCCCGAAAGCAAAACTTCATAAAAGAAGCGGCCAATTAAGAACTTTCTTTTTAAAATAAAGATTAAATTTAGATAAATGAAATAGAAAACTAAATTAATTAAAAAAATAAACATAAAATCGTAAATAGTCCCATGATTTTAAAACTATAACAGCATTACAACAGAACTAAATTTGAATTAGATATGAACACAACTAAACTATAACTGAACTAGAACTGAACTAGAACTGAACTAGAACTGAACTAGAACTGAACTAGAACTGAACTAGAACTGAACTAGAACTGAACTAGAACTGAACTAGAACTGAACTAGAACTGAACTAGAACTGAACTGAACTAGAACTGAACTAGAACTGAACTAGAACTGAACTAGAACTGAACTAGAACTGAACTAGAACTGAACTAGAACTGAACTAGAACTCCACTAGAACTCAAATAGAACTCAACTAGAACAAAACTGGAACTCAACTAGAACTCAACTAGAACTCAACTAGAACTGAACTATAACTCAACAAGAACTCAACTAGAACTCTACTAGAACTGAACTAGAACTGAACTAGAACTGAACTAGAACAGAACTAGAACTGAACTAGAACTGAACTAGAACTGAACTAGAACTGAACTAGAACTGAACTAGAACTGAACTAGAACTGAACTAGAACTGAACTAGAACTGAACTAGAACTGAACTAGAACTGAACTAGAACTGAACTAGACTGAACTAGAACTGAACTAGAACTGAACTAGAACTGAACTAGAACTGAACTAGAACTGAACTAGAACTGAACTAGAACTGAACTAGAACTGAACTAGAACTGAACTAGAACTGAACTAGAACTGAACTAGAACTGAACTAGAACTGAACTAGAACTGAACTAGAACTGAACTAGAACTGAACTAGAACTGAACTAGAACTGAACTAGAACTGAACTAGAACTGAACTAGAACTGAACTAGAACTGAACTAGAACTGAACTAGAACTGAACTAGAACTGAACTAGAACTGAACTAGAACTGAACTAGAACTGAACTAGAACTGAACTAGAACTGAACTAGAACTGAACTAGAACTGAACTAGAACTGAACTAGAACTGAACTAGAACTGAACTAGAACTGAACTAGAACTGAACTAGAACTGACTAGAACTGAACTAGAACTGAACTAGAACTGAACTAGAACTGAACTAGAACTGGAACTAGAACTGAACTAGAACTGAACTAGAACTGAACTAGAACTGAACTAGAACTGAACTAGAACTGAACTAGAACTGAACTAGAACTGAACTAGAACTGAACTAGAACTGAACTAGAACTGAACTAGAACTGAACTAGAACTGAACTAGAACTGAACTAGAACTGAACTAGAACTGAACTAGAACTGAACTAGAACTGAACTAGAACTAAACTAGAACTGAACTAGAACTGAACTAGAACTGAACGAGAACTGAACGAGAACAGAACTAGAACAGAACTAGAACAGAACTAGAAACAGAACTAGAACAGAACTAGAACAGAACTAGAACAGAACTAGAACAGAACTAGAACAGAACTAGAACAGAACTAGAACAGAACTAGAACAGAACTAGAACAGAACTAGAACAGAACTAGAAACAGAACTAGAACAGAACTAGAACAGAACTGAACTAGAACAGAACTAGAACAGAACTAGAACAGAACTAGAACAGAACTAGAACAGAACTAGAACAGAACTAGAACGGAACTAGAACAGAACTAGAACAGAACTAGAACAGAACTAGAACAGAACTAGAACAGAACTAGAACAGAACTAGAACAGAACTAGAACAGAACTAGAACAGAACTAGAACTGAACAAAAACTGAACAAGAACAGACCTAGAAATTTCAAAATCTTTGCTTAAAATGCTTCATTTCAATAAATTTCTTTTATTATCTATGATTTTTTAAAATTTTGCATTTTTTTTTCAAATACCGAAAATTCAGGCTTAATATTGAAATTAAGAAAATTTTACAAAAATTCCGTAAAAAGCTCTAGGAACTCCATAAAACTAAAATATTTAGCAAATTAAAAAACAAAAATTTTTTTTCAAAGTTTGTGTCTTCAGTCTTTTGTTTTGTTCAAACAAACTCAACAAATATTGTTCAAAAATATGTATGTAGGAGTTTGTGATTTTTTTTCGAACAAAATCTCATAATGTCATCTTGCTGAAACCATAAATCATAAAAATGAATACAAAACAAACTTCTAAAGGGACTCATAATTTCTCATATTGTATGAGAGAGTATGTGTGAAAAGACAAGCCTTCTACTCCTCCTCCTCCTACAACACAATATAAGTAGACAAAAAACTGTCTCAGATGAGTTGTAGAATATTTACAATAGTTTCCTTTACAATGTTGTTAAGTACACATAGACCTTAGACTAGAATTCGACGAAAGAATGACTCAACATGCTGCTGCTGCTGCTGCTAAGAAACAAACAAACTTACAAAACTATTGACATTGAAATATAGATGGATTTCAAAATTTAAAAAGCCTGCTATTAACATGATTGTGATTGTGCTCAAGAAGATTTCAAAATTTATGGTTACAAACTAAAGAAAGAGGAAACATTTCAAAAGTTGTCTTAAAGTAGTAATGACATTTGTAATAAATTTGTATGAAGAACCACTCATCTTTATACTAATGTTAAGCTGCAAATCCATAGTTTTTTTTTCAAAATGTTAAACTTGTCAGTTTTATTTAAATATTATGGATTAAATGAGTCTATAGATAGATTTTCTCTGTTATTTCTACCTTTAGGATTAATACTGGTTTCTGGCATATTTTTCTTTTAATTTTTACCTTGGAGGTTTAGCTATCTGCTTACAAGTAGCTTTCTACAGTAGCCTTATTACTTGTTTGCTGAAATCTGCCTGACATGCTATACTGTGATAATTTTACAAATTCTTTTTTAGACTTTTCTCCTTTAGTTTCTTTCTATTTTTTTAGCATTCAATGTTTGTTACATGTCTTTTGGTATCAATTGTCATTGCCGGAATTGATAGACGTGCATATATGCAAATTAAAATGAAAAATTACAAAAGTTAGTTTTTGTTATAGCAACAGGGGAATATGCTTTGATGGCAGTGCTTGCTAATTTAGCTTCCGTTTTCATGGGCAAATTGTTAGCAATTTTTTAATTGGGAAAATAATTTGAAATTGTAAAGTTTATATTAATAATCTAGTCAACAGTCTATACTATAGTCCTGTCTATAGTCTGGACTATAGTCTTGTCTATATTCTGGACTAATGTCTAGTCTATAGTCTGACTATACTCCAGACTATATACAAGACTATAGTATAAATTGTATACTGGTGTATAGTATACTGATCTATAGTCTAGTCTATAGTCTAAACTATAGTCTGGACTGCATTCTAGTCCATAATCAGGAGTATAGTATAGTCCATAGTCTGGTCTGGTATGTACTATAGTCTAGTATATATCCAGGTCTATAATCTTGTGTAGAGTCTGGCCTATAGTCTAGTCTAGAGTCTGGACTATACTTTAGTCTATAGTCTAGTCTATATCTTAGTCTATAGTCTAGTCTTTAGTCAAGTCTATAGGTTAGGTTCTAGGCTATATCCTAGAACCTAACTATAGTCTAGTCTATAGTCTAGTCTATAGTCTAGTCTATAGTGTAGTCTATAGTCTAGTCTATAGTCTAGTCTATAGTGTAGTCTATAGTCTAGTCTATAGTCTAGTCTATAGTCTAGTCTATAGTCTAGTCTATAGTCTAGTCTATAGTCTAGTCTATAGTCTAGTCTATAGTCTAGTCTATAGTCTAGTCTATAGTCTAGTCTAGTCTATAGTCTAGTCTAGTCTATAGTCTAGTCTATAGTCTAGTCTATAGTCTAGTCTATAGTCTAGTCTATAGTCTAGTCTATAGTCTAGTCTATAGTCTAGTCTATAGTCTAGTCTATAGTCTAGTCTATAGTCTAGTCTATAGTCTAGTCTATAGTCTAGTCTATAGTCTAGTCTATAGTCTAGTCTATAGTCTAGTCTATAGTCTAGTCTATAGTCTAGTCTATAGTCTAGTCTATAGTCTAGTCTATAGTCTAGTCTATAGTCTAGTCTATAGTCTAGTCTATAGTCTAGTCTATAGTCTAGTCTATAGTCTAGTCTATAGTCTAGTCTATAGTCTAGTCTATAGTCTAGTCTATAGTCTAGTCTATAGTCTAGTCTATAGTCTAGTCTATAGTCTAGTCTATAGTCTAGTCTAT